AGAAGGATGCCAACAGTAAACTACGGCAAATGACGCTCTGAACTGCTGCGAACTACTGCCATCATTTTTCAACTGAATAGAGTGTATACGACACTGCGTGCGAGATAATGCGATTGCAATACCAAAGTTTAAAAGAAGCATACTATACAGAAAGCGGGAAGTTGGCATAAACTCATGCTCACTACACACTGCAACGCAGCTTTTTGTTGCTGTGCTCAGTGCTCTCAGAAGCGCTTCGCTGATCTCAGAAGGAATGCTTATATGACGCATCAAGGCTTCATCAACCAAGCTTTTTCGTGCATGGAAGGTTGGCACGACTATCTATGCCACTGTCTTTGAAGTACAATTCCGATCACTCAAGCTACGACTATATGAAAAATTCGGCAATTTCCACGTACCTGTGAATCGACGTTATGCGAAGCATGCGGAGGGAAGATGACTGTGTTGTAATTTTTTTTATTTAGCAACACGTCTTGAAATGACGCTAAATTTATGTACATACATTGCACGCACTGACATATGTTGAAGAGTTGCAGATGTTTGTATAAGCAGTTGTTTGCACTTGCGCAACTATGCCAACTGGAACACGCGTATTAGCGACACCAGAAGCTGATATGAAGCGCTGATGCTCGCGAGGATGCTGGCCCTGGACAGTGCTACATAAATCAACTTCAGCGCATGACAACTAACCACAATTGACGTTAACCCGACGTAACGGCTGTATGAAAGGAATACATATTCTTACAAGGAGACGCAATATATAATGTTTATAAAATTGGGTACGCAGCAATGCAACAACTACTGACGTTACACGAAGATGGCGTCTATTTGTAAAGTAGTTCCGAGACCTGGCGTAGCTTTGTGGTAAAATGCTTCATTGCCACGCGGAATGCTTGGGTTTGATTCCAGCTGGGACGATGGCATGTATTCTTTGCATTCGTCAGGTCGACGCTACCGATGTCGGGTATTTTTTAATGCTCGCTGGTTAAAATTGCCCATGCCAGTTCTCGTCGCTCCTGGGTAGACACTAAGTATCAATCGCCTGTGGCACATACCCACATACCAGCGATCCATACCTGCCTGTGGGTATGTGCCACTGTCTGACGGGAAGTGTTTGACGACGTACAGGACAGAATTGTGACATTATTCTTTTCTTGACCAGCACGTCATATTCGTCAAACCATCTTACCCTCTCATGCTAATTTAGGTTAACGCCAAGTTAAGGGGGTGACCACGAAAGCATCCATACGTAAGCAGCTTGATAGAGAGAAAGATAGCTCAAAGACCATGAAGTTCGCTAAAAAATGCTTCGCATTTAAAAATGTTGCTGATTTGTGCTAACTCATTGGATCGGCAGGTGAACCAGCACAGATATCCTGGCCAAACAGAGACGCGCTATGGCAGCAGGCACAGTTATAACCTTCTGTTACAGCGAAAGCTGTTATGAAATCACAAGTCCAGTCATTCGCCGCGCCGTAGCTGTCCGCCGCCGCCACTTCCGCTGTACGTAACCACATCGTTCGAAATTATCAAAAATACCTAACACCAATGACACAGTGGGGCTCGAACCCGGGTCCGCTGGGTAGCTGCCCAGTATTCCACCACTGAGCGACGCTGGTGCTTGGAGTTTTCTGACAAAACTGCCTTGATATCGAGAAAACAATCACGTTAATATGTCCTATAAAATGTTTTAAAACAGCGAAAGAACAAGCAGTCGTCACAAAATGCGAATAGCGTAACGAGTGGGTCGTCAAATGCTCCAAATCTTTACAAAAGTATGTGTTTGTTCAGCTTTTTGCTGTGGCGCATACCTACTTCAGACATAATTCCTCATTGTCGTCAGCCAATGCATGAACAAGGGGCACAAACTTCCTTGCAAGTGTTTAGCGGATACCACACTTCTCATAAGAACGACGAAATATAGGATAGCGAATGACGGCCTACTGCGCTAAAATTTTATTATTAATGTCGTAGTGGGCATCAAGCAAGTGTGCTTGCTGTAGTTACCCAAGAAGTGTTTAGAGAAGGCTCTGAAAAGCCGCTGTTCTACCTTTCGCTGTGGCTGTGCTGCGCCTTCCGCGTAGGCCTGGCGCTTTTTGTTAAGCTCCCACCCCCTCTCCTACTAACAAAGAAGAAAGAGTAGAGGCACAAAGGCAAAATGCAGTTTTCTATAAATTTAGAAAAAAAGAGCGAGTTGCTGCGATCGCTGGAAAGGTTCACGGATACAATAGCTTAGAATTCCAACCATACTTGTGCGAAATGCGTCTCGTCAGTACAATACTGATCTTAATTTGTGTAAAAAGGTATAGGGGGCCGAGTTCAACGCACAATATGCGCGTGTGTTAAACGAAAGTTGTGGCAGTTTTCACGTTTATACCGTCGTATCAAACAGTCACGCATACAAGCGCAAAATGTGGAGGGAACTGACGCACATTTTATGGGGACAGTTCATGGGCCACAGCACTCTATCGATCAGTGATGTTCCGTACTACGTCGAAGAATTTCCTTTCAGTGACATGAAAATTCTCTATTTGGGAATTTTCCCTGCAAAGGTTCACTAAATTTCCAGCATAATTGTTTGTTACACCCCCATTCAGGCATACACGTGTTACAATTACACTTGTCTCACGCACTGGCGACATTTCAAATTATAACTATAGCTACTCCGCTGCCGCACAACAAAAGTATGACATTATTAATTAATATACTGTTAGAAAACTGCACAATGTGGGCTTCAAGTCTAACACTAATAGCGAAACTAGAAATCCCCCCGCATAAATTTAAGGAACAAATTTCAAAGGCTATGCTTGCGTGGTGCTCAAGCCAGAATCGATTACTGCAGATGAAGGCGCAATGTGACCGCTAATATTGGTGGTCATGAAAAAAATATTCATTCCGAAAATTTCCTGCAGGATTACAAAGATTCCCCTTTTTCTTTGGCTCAAAATGACAGGCGAGAATTCCCTTACAAAGGGAAACTTCCCTACACGAAGAATCACTGCTATCGATGCCGCCACCGGAAGCTTGGAGACGGGCCATAGCTCTGAGCAGTGCAGACGGCATTGAACGCTAGGCAAGCGTAAGTTATTGTTTTCTTTCTATTTTAGAAACTGCTGCCGAATAAGCTACTCTATTGGCTATAGTGAGCTGACTATAGGGTCTACAATGATCGTTCAATAGGTTCCCCTAATAATATTGTTAATAAATATATTGTTAGTATTACAAATATTTATTTCCACCTAAGCAGTGCAGATGGAGGGTGTTAGAAAAGAAGCGACGAGCCACTTGACTCAGTTCCCAGCCCACGGTTATGACTGGCTGAGGTAGTGGTGGCGACAAAACACATATTATTGCGCAATAACTTGACTAATTCTAAATGAAGGCAATACAAGCTATATAGACTTTTCATATAGAAATAGGCATACAGAAGCATTTTTACAAATTCTCTTTACAAATACAGCAAAGAGAAGGCATTAACAGCAAGGGAAGAGAGAGAAACGGAAAAGGCGACACATTAGTTGACCCACATAAGGGTAAGATTAATGATATCCTTTGACTGTTTCAAGAGTTGACGAGAAACTCGCAGAGCTACGCCAATGTTATGTCTGTAATCTGAATGTCCGCGAAATGACGTTTATTCAGTTGTGACAGGAACTGATAAGATACTCTTTACAGTCGATAATTTTTCTTGTGCGAGGAAGCACCAAGCGTGGCTGAATACAATGTTGGCTCATTGACCTTTAGGTTTGCATACCGGCTAACCCTGATAATGTAGGTAACTGTCTTTTATGTAGTGCTGTAGCAGTCTATAATCACGTTAATTGAAAACATTGTTGATGCTGTGTGAAGTAACCAAGGAATAAGTTTCTTGTCCCTCAGGAAAGTTATAAATTAAACAAATGATTTTTCTGTGCAATACAAAAATCTCCTGCCATTACTTTGTGTCATCATGGCTCACATTGATAGAGAGTATTTTAAATGTGATTTAATTAAATCATCATATACGGCGAGCTCTGCTTTTAAAGGTAACAGTAATGTATGACGCAAAATTATGCAATCAGCTCTAGAGGTTTTAGGTAAAAGAGTATTGACATCGTCATTTCATAGCATGCTTGGTTTAAAATAAACTCCAAGCGATTTTATAGATTTCACAAAGAACTAGAAGTCCAACCTTCAGGCTCTCGGTCTGGAACATTGCCTCTTTATTCCGTGTGACGCTTTCTTCTACCTAAAGGTTTGGATGTTTTTTTTTTTACCGAAAGATACAGCTATCGAAATAGTGTGTTCAAGGAAAAGAGAAAACACTTTGGCAGGCCATTAAACACATGCGAAACAACTTCATAAAAAATGACCAAAATCAGAAGAACTTCCAAGGCTGCGGTATTGGAGAGGTAGATAACGGAAACTGAGAGAGTTTGTAAGTTACCCTTTACGAAAAACTGAACCAACTGAAGAAAATATGATGACAGGCAGTATTGCTCACTAATACAACGGTGAATAATAATAATAAAAAAAGACTCGCATAGTCCTTGTCGTATTCGTCTAAGACTTCAAGACAAAAGCCATTTTTATTTTTTTTACTTCTCAGTCTACGTATTGATTCTCACCGCCCCTATCCGAAAGCTTTCGCACCTGACATCGTTTGGTACTGCCGTGATGAGCGATTCACCATTGACCAACTGATGGTGTTGTGTGATGATGTTATGTGGACGGCACAACTTCTGTACAGCTGTGATGTTCCCATTGCATCAAATGGGGACGTTATCGCTTGATGATGACTTTAACACGAAAAAGTTTTATGCCGGGATCGATTACGGTTCCTTAGGATGTATTTTCGGGGCGGAAAACGGCTCGTAAAAGTGGTGACAAAGAAAAGTGAGAAGAAAATGCTTCGTTGATTAGGATGACCTGCTAGTCAACCCTGAACCTCTCGGTAGTACGGGACAATGTGTGCCAACGCTCGTGCGTGAGCCTTCAAAAACGCGCCTAATATATCTCACCTCTTTTCGAAATCGCAGTGACTTTGGTTGGAGCCCGGTGGAGCAGCAGTGTAACCGTCCGAGTTCGGTGAAGTGCTGTATCAGGACACTAACGAGTGCCGCAAGAGAACGCTTCGGTACTTTACACTTTTGTTTGAGCGAGAGACAGGTTAGCGGCAAGCGGAACGTGGGCTCACGATCATTGCTCATGCTACCAGTTCATCATCCCGCGTTGCTCAAGTGTCGGGGTCCGTCACGCTACGCAAAACCAAAACGGAAATTGAACACCTGCACAGCAAAACACGAAAACATATGTACACTCAACCGATTTTGCATGTACATCGACAAATTATATGACAGCAGAATACATGATAATGTGCGCCATCTGTCTGTCCATGCGTCCATGCATTCATGCGTCAGTCCACCCATCTGTCCACGTCCGCGCATCCGTCAATCTATCTGTCCCTACTTTATACTAGTCGGTGACTTTAACGCAGATATTATAGACCTTAGGACGTACCTTTACCCTCTCGTCATCATTCACATGACGGAGATCCGTGTGTTATTGCGAGAGAAATTATTTGAACAAACAGTCTCGGGCGGATTTTCTGGCGAGTATTACCTGGAAAAATTTTAATGTGAGCACTTCGGATCAAATATTGGTCCAAGTGTATTTTATCATTCATGTTTCTGTGTGAACACCTGTAAAGAAAAAGAGGTAATAAAGAAGAAAAAAGCTGTGGTAGCTCAGTGGTTGGACATCGAACGCGTTATTTGAAGGTCGTAGGTTCGAATCCTGCTCATGACTGGTTATTTTTTCATCCACTTTTCTTTCTTCCTATTTGCATTCCATTGGTTCTAATAACTTCCCCTGTACATTCCTTGGCATTACTGTCTGTTATATCTCATTATTATTGTGTCAAAATACGGAAAAACGAGCCCTTAGGTATTCACTTCTTTCCCTTATTTCATTTATCGAGGGTCTCGTACTGGCAGACTTGGTGTCAATAGGTTGTATACCAGGAACTATTAATCAGCTACCCGCTAGTAATAAGTTCACGTGCTACGTGACGCCAAACATGCGCATAAAAGAGTGGTTCACACTCGTCGCTTGGCATATAGATGGCGCTGACTGTCACTCCTACTTCTAAATTCACATATAAACCCAAAAAAGTGGATGGAGGGGAGGCCGCTGTGGTAGCTCAGTGGTTAGAGCATCGAACGCGTTATTCAAAAGTCGTAGGTTCGATTCCTGCTCACGGCTGGTTGATTTTTCATGCACTTTTCTTTCTTCTTATTTACATTCCATTGGTTCTAATAACTTCTTCTGCACATTCCTTGGCATTACTGTCGGTTCTCATTAATATTGTGTCAAAACACGGAAAAACGAGATCTCAGGTATACACTTCTCTATCTTATTTCATTGAACGAGGGTCTCGTACTGGCAGACTTGGTGTGTTTAGGTTGTATAAGAAGGGCAATTAATCAGCTGCCCGCTCATAATAAGTCCACGTTCTACGTGACGCCAAATATGAGAATAAGAGTGTTTTCAGACTCGTTGTTTGGCTTATAGATGGCGCTGACTCTCACTCCTACTTCTAAATTCACATATAAACCCCAAAAAGTGGATGGAGGGACGGCCGCTGTGATAGCTCAGTGGTTAGAGCATCGAACGCGTTATTCGAAGGTCGTAGGTTCGTTTCCTGCTCACAGCTAGTAATTTTTTCATCCACTTTTCTTTCTTCTTTCTTCTTATTTACATTCCATTAATTCTAATAACTTCCCCTGTACATTCCTTGGCATTACTGTCTGTTATATCTCATTAATATTGTGTTAAAATACGGAAATACGAGCCCTTAGGTATACACTTCTCTCCCTTATATATATATATATATATATATATATATATATATATATATATATATATATATATATATATATATATATATGTGTGTGTGTGTGTGTGTGTGTGTGTGTGTGTGTGTGTGTGTGTGTGGGGAAGGACGTGCACGCGCTAGCTGCGGAGCGAACATTGCCTTTCCAGCCGGCCTCGCACACGCTTTTTTCGCTGATGATTGCCGCGCTATTGCGCCAACGATGAGCGCGCCTCGTGTCCCCACAGCAAGCGGGAGCTTCTACTGGCTGCTGTCTCAACACCAAAAAACGGTGCCAAAAGTCTACCTGGAGCAGCCGTGTTCTCCTACACCAGCATTTTGTAGAGTCACGTGAGATTGGATCTAAATGAATTGACTGCCAGCCTCATTTTTATATCAACGCCATCATTACGCGCGAGCATTGTTGTGGTCATCCACTGTGGCCACGCCGCAGGAAACTTGGTTACTTCGCAAGCGTGCGTTTCCTACAATAATACTGCTCAAACTGCTAGCCTTGCTTCGTGAAACATTCCAATATGTTGCTATCTCATTGATTGCTTTAGCCATTTGGCGAAACTGTGACTTTTTCGTACATGCGCGAGTACAGGCATAGGGTTACTCCATCACTGTGGTATATTCAATTTTACTTTTCCCTCTTATGTTCACGATGCATGCTCGGGTGGAAACAAATGAGCCCCTGCCAAAATACGATTCTTAAGTTCTTGTTCTTGGCTGCGCTTACAGATAACCCGCCTTTTACGTATCTCATTTCCTTCTCGCTCTAAACAAAGTGCTTAAGAAGCTGTTATCTGAAAATGAGAGGTTGATAATAGTGGGTGAGAAACATTATTCTCCTGATTGTCAATTCTGACGTGTACACTTCTGACACTCATTGATTTAATAGGTATGGTTTTGAATATACCATAACATCACCAACTCGATGCTTTGATTAAAGATCCCATTCTTATTGATCATGTTGTAAGTAACATCAGCCTACCAATTGCTGCAGGCGTTAATAATGCTGACTCTACGGACCACTTTCAAATTTTTTCAGCAGTTTTCAATGCTCATTTCACTACAGTTGGCACTTCAAATTATAGCACAACGTTCGATACAGATAAATTAATTTCTACAATTGGCTCAAGCTACTGTCTCGTTTCAATTTAATGCATGAGCATACGGCGGCTTCCCTTCTTTGTGATGCTTTGACGAAGGCAGTTTGTACCACATCTAGAATTGTGCGCTGTAAAATATTTAAAATACCTGGAATACCCTTGGATAACCGATGGTTTATTAAAAGAGCTTGAGGTAAAAAGATAATTTGTATAAGAAAACTTGAAGAGAGTCAATCAATAGTTTTCTACTTAATAGGTGGAAGAAGTATTGGAAGATTCTCACTAGCACTTTCCGGGGAGCCAAAAGGCGACACTACAAAACCGAGTTTGCGCAGAAAAAAGATAACTCTAAAAATAATTAGAAATACTGAATAAATTTTTGAATCGTAAGTACCCAGCATTTATATATAAAATTGAACATGACCGCATTCCTTTCAACCATTCTGCTGAAATATCTATTCCGCTTTCCGATCATTTCGCATTATTTTAGAGCAGCCAGTTGTCAACTTTTCAACCTGGAATAAATCATTTGTGCCATTAATTTTGTCTTTTCCCAGTTGCCCAAGCGAGTTTCCATCCACTATCTGTAACGCTCAAAACACAAGCACTGGATTAAATAGTATTTCAATAGGCCCTTCAAAACAAGTTGCTGACATAGATTCATCTTCAAAACTGGTGAATTTACGCAAGTATTTGAACGTGCTAAGGCGAACGTGGTTTTCAAAAAATGGATGAAAGAACTGCTGTCAAATTACTATCTCATTTTCATCTGCCCACCCCTAAGTAAAATAAATGAAGTTATTTGTTTACAAACTAGGTACTTTAATCAATTGCACATAAGGAAATTTTGCCAGTTCTACTAATTCAGCATTGCTCTGTCTTACAGATCTCTTTAACAAAACGTCTTCATAGGAATGAATTCGTCGGTTGTGTCATTCTCGGCCTGACTAAAGCCTTTGACATCATTATTCACATAATTTTGTATCGTAAACTAGAAGCCACTGGGATCCCTGGCCCTGCTGTAGTGTTTTCGAAGCATTTTTCAGGTGACCGAGTGTTTGCGGTGCACGAACGTAAAACATTATCTCCTCCTAGAAGTACTAACCAAGGAGGTGCCACAGAGTTTAATTTTGAGGCCATTGCTTTTATTGCAATAGCAGTTATATGGACAGTCTAGACTGGATTTCGCCGCCAGCGTCAGCGTCATCGCCACTCACCGTATAAGTATACGTATCTATATATATGAAAATGCAAAAAAGAAAAATAACCCAGAAAAATACTCCGGCGTGCGGAACCGAATGCGGGACCTATGAATTGTTAGTGCAAGGCATTAGCGACTGAGCCGCATAGGAGCAGCTGATTCAGCGTTAAAACGGCGAACTATTTATATCTACCTCTTACCGCTAGTGACGGGCAGCTCAGGGGGAACTCTCTTGTTCTGAGCATTACCAACGACATAAAGCAATGAGGGCGCGTCGCCACATCGTCACGACGTGGCGGCGTATGCTCTCATCTCCTACGCGTACTTTGCCCCGCGTAGAGGGGGCAGGATGGACGCTCACGCCTGCACTTATCTCGCGGTAGAGACAATCGCACGCCTTGGCTGGCCTTGACCTTTCACCGAAATGGTTCTGTTGTAGTTACCAGGTGCGCAGAGATTACTGCAATCGTTGCACAGCCCCAAGGATCCGTTCGCGAAAAGTGCGTGCTTTTCAGACACAGCGAAGTAACAACGGAGGCGATTTTTTGCGTTCATTTGTACCTGTGAGTGCATTTCGTGCGTTATTTGTGCGTGAGAAACGCAGGGCACGTTCCGATCTGCTTACCATTCGGCGCGTGACCTTTCAATTTGTTCCTCTTGCGTTCATTTCTTCGGCTGTGTGGCAAAGTTGTGACTTTTTTTCATTTAAATAATGACTTTCCAGACGTCACTCATTTATGGCACTATGTATTGTACGCAGACGGTACACTATATATATACCGAGTAAATCTATGTGTTCATTACTAAATAAACTAAATATAGCGTTTTATCACCTAATAAATGGTGAAATAATAACAATGTAGTCATTACTTCATCTAAAACAATTTTTTGGTTTCCATGCACATCAAAAGCCTTTCAATAATTCTCCTTTCTTATCATTGAAAACCAGTTTATTCCCATGAATGACTCTGCGGTATATCTAGGCGTGACAATAAACTGGCATTTGAAGTATTATATTCATGTCAAT